ATCAGAGGCAAATGAAAGGATAGGCAGCAAAATCAATTGCACTTAATCAAATTTGAAAGAGAAATAGCCATAGTTCAATGGTCATTCTTCAAAGAAGGAATGGCATGGTGACAAAACCAACCAAGGCTCAAGTCAGAGCATCAATTCCAATAATAAACATAGTCAAAAGCTAAAGTGTAGCCGGGCGGTGGTGGTGCGTGCCTTTAATCCCAGCACTCGGGAGGCAGAGGCAGGAGGATTTCTGTGAGTTCGAGGCCGGACTGGACCGATAGCCTCCAAAACAATACAGAGAAACCCTGTCTCGTAAAAACCAAAAAAAAAAAAGGCTAAAGTGTGACTTTGTGTGTTCGTTTGTGTACAAGGATTGCCTAACGTAAGGTGAGTTGCCTAGCATTAAACAGAAGAACCGCAGTGTGCTGTGGCCATCAGGAAACAGCCCTGCTAATACTATAACTATCAGTGTGGTTTTGGTCATCATTGTAACAGCAGTGGAATTTTTATATTTACTTCTTTACTTTTTATACCTCTTTGCTGATAGTATATTCTTTGTTACAATTTATACTTAGTTTTTGAAGCATGTATTCTGAGAGCTTATCAAAAAGTAGAGTAATGAAATAAAGGGACTCATAGGGTAAGATGTAGGATGTAGGGAAAGTACTGAAGTACTGATTTAATATGTTTCTACTGTAACCATCTGAATTATTGGAAATTAGTCACCTGAAGGAGATCAGAATAAAATGGAGTTCAGAATCCCAAAGTAAAATGATAGACTATTGACTATAGTGTAGGACAGTGGTTCTCAACTTTTCTAATGGTTTGACCCTTCAACACGGTTCCTCATGTTATGTTGACCCACAACCACAACATTACTTTTGTTGCTACTTCATAATCGTATTTTTGCTACTGCTATGAATCATAATATAAATATTGGCTTTCTCTGATGGTCTTAGGTGACCTCTGTGAAAGAGTTGTTTTACTACCCCCAGAAGCCCACAGATTGAGAAACAATGGTATAGGGTATGATAAAGGGTAGTATTTGGAGTCCAAGTTAAATTTCAAGCTTTCCTATTACTTGCTATATGATCTCAAACAATTATTCAGTTACTCTCTGCCTTGGTTTCTTATTATAAAGAAGGGAGAAGTAGTACCCACAATTCAGAGTTGTGGTACAGATTTGATTAATAAAATATATGTAAATGACTCAGACTAAATTCATTACAAATGTAATAGTAATTAATAGTATAAAATTGAAATAACAGTGAGAAAGCAAAGGGATGCTATGTAAAGAAATGAACATTAAAGGCATTCCCTAAGAAACAATTCGATAACTCAATGTTTTCCAGCAGAAAATTTCTCATTCCAAAGTCTACCGGTCACATGCAAGTGTGTTCTCCTTTTGTATTTTGCATTCTGAGATGAAGGGAGACAGTTACCTGATTAGAACTATCCTCCCAACAAAGGCTGAATGTCAAAAGAGCGAAAGGAGCTGACCCAAACCTATTTAACATTTCAACTTGGGAAAAGCATTTACTATGCTTATTCACAAGTGCTGGCTATATTTAATTAAAAGTCACTGAGTGGAATGGAGATGTATATATTCCACCTGTGAAGAGGCCATGTCAAGGACAGGAAATAAAGAAGGAATTTTAACAGATACCATCTACCTAACAGTCACAAATATTCAAGCTCCCATTAGTAAACCTAAAAATTGTTCATGCTCATAAATAATAGTATATTATAAGATATATGTACATTTATTCATGTAATAGTTCTCCATTGTAATGATTTATTCTGGGAGATGAATTATTTTTTCCTTTTTTCTTTAAATTAGAAACAAGCTTGCTTCACATGTCAATCCCAGATCCCTCACCCCCTTCCTCCCCTAACCTACACCAATGCCCCCAACCTCCCACCCCATCCCTTCTCCACTCCCTAGGAAGGATGAGGCCCTCCATGGGGAATCTTCAAAGTCTGTCATATCATCCAGGGCAGGTTCTAGGTCCTCCCCCCATGTGTCCAGGCTGAGAGAACATCTCTCCATGTGGAATGGGCTCCCAAAGTTCATTTGGATACCAGGGCTAAATTCTAAACTACTATTCAAGGCCCCATAGATTTCTGAGGCCTCCTCACTGACATCCAGGCTCAGTGAGTCTGGATCAGTCCCATGCTGGCCTCTCAGTCACCAATCTGGGGTCCATGAGCTCCCCCTTGTTCAGGTCAGCTGCCTCTGTGGGTTTCACCAGCCAGGTCTTGACTCCTTTGCTCATCACTCCTCCCTCTCTGCAACTGGGTTCCAGGAGTTCAGTTCAGTGTTTAGCTGCGGGTGTCTGCCTCTGCTTCCATCAGCTACTGGATGAAGGCTCTAGGAAGGCATATAAGGTAGGCATCAATCTCATTATTGGGGGAAGGCATTTAAGGTAGCCTCTCCGCTATTGCTTAGGTTGTCAGTTGGTGTCATCCTTGTATATCTCTGAAAATCTGAGAGATGAATTCTTAGAAGAGTAAAAATTTTCTTTTTGTTTTCTTTTCTTTTTATTTTTTTGAAACAAGATCTTACTATGTAGTTATAGTTGACCTTGAACTCATAGAGATCCTTCCTCTGCCTCCTGAGTGCCAGGATTAAAGTTGTGTGGCACCATGCCTGGTCCTAAGTACATTTTTAAAAATGTAATTGTCTAATTTCTCTTTAAGAAAAAGTGATGTAGGACCCTCTCACTCACAGAGGCTTGTTCCTGGGCCTAGGTGATATAGAAAGCATCAAGATGTGTGTGTGTGTGTGTGTGTGTGTGTGTGTGTGTGTGTGTGTGTGTGTGATGCTTTTAAAATTTGATAACCAAATAGATACAAAGTGACTACTAAACATCAGCAGTGTGGTCCAGTGCATCTGGAGATAATTAATGGTTATACTGGACAGAGAGATGATTCATGCTCAGGCAAGATGGAGCAGGACAATATAAGATTATGCTACTCAGATCCCTTTGCCATTAAAAACTTTAGAATTATTTTTTTCTAAAATTTTCCACCTAGTATCTCTAGAACATAGTTGACTATGAGTATGTTAAACAGTAGGAAGTGACACTATGGATAAGGGCAGTACATATACTACATCCATTCTTCTCTAGCCCAGCTCTCCATCTTAAGGGGGAGTTTTAGAAAAGGCTACAGTGCTAAGCAGTGACCCTGAATAGACAGAAAAGAATAAAGGGACCAAAACTAGTCCTGAGAGGAGGAGGTGGGCCAAGGAAGCAGGAAATATTAAAACAAATAAAGGGGATCCAGACAGAAAGTATTTGGTGTGTAGAGTGTCTTCTGGACAAGGTGTAGAACCAGAGTCTGGTCAAAAGATGATGTCATTAGAAATGAGAAAGTAGCTCAGTGGTAGAGCACTTGCCTGGCAAGTGCAAAGGCCTGGGTTTGATCCCCAGAAAACCAAAAGAAAAATGGAAAGACCACAGTCATATTGAGGAGGAAAAGGTAGCATGGTTTATTTGTTCTTTCACTTTATACAAACCATGGACTCCTTTACTTAGGTAGATCTTATCTTTCAGGAAAAGCCTTAAGACTTAGTGAATATAGCTAGCTTCCCAGTCCATTTCAGTGGTGAAAATTTTTATTAAGATTTGTGTTTATACTACAAGAACCCCTTCTATCACATTATATCAGATCTTTACAAGTTTAGCTCCTCAGCTCAATGTCCTAATTAATTGTATCCAATAGATGAAGCTCCATCTAGACAGATGGGCTAGTCAGCCATGCTTACATTTTCTGGGCTACTCCTCTCGAATTCTTCTAATTTTATTCGGATGAAATTGAAAATTTGACATTTTACTGCATTTTCTGACTTTTGAATATATTCCCCATGCCCAGAAAAAACCAGTCAACAATCACCCATTATTAGACAAATCCCTTACATCAACTATTTATCTGCGAGCCCAGAAGCTTCAGCTATCTGTGAGTGGAATGTTTCAGGGGGTTAAGAGTGTGGAAGTAGAAAAGAGTGGTGTGCTTAGTTTTGGAAGCTCAATCAATTCTGATCCCCATAAATGTTGTTATGTCCTTCCCATGTTAGAGTAGTTAACCCATCTTATCCATCTCATAGAAATTTGCAAAAGATACAAGCACCAATATTACCCACATGGCATCCCTGGCAGTTAGAAAATGTGAAAATGACCAATACTTGGCCAATTTGATGTACCATCATGGTCTGAATTAGAGATAGTGATGCAAAGCATATGTAAACAGATCTGGTAATATGTAGTTTTCAGACCATCACTGTAGGTGTTGGTGGAGTATAAATCTTATCACTGCGAAGTTCAGAGATTAATGTTCCCAGAAGTCTCCTTCTATGCTATGACTTTGGCTGTTTGGATTTGGATTACATGGTCTTTCCTAATCTTACCTATTTTTAGAATCTGAAACCTGGACCTTGGGAATTTATGAACTCTAAATAGCCCATTTAGAAACTAATTTCCCCACAAATCAGTCAGCATCACTTTATGAACACAGAGAATCACAACTCTTTATTTAACCACAGACCCATGGATCACCCTCAGTTGCAGTGAAACCTAAGCTTAGTGTTTTACACTAAGTAAATGGTGGTTTCTTTGCTTTCTGTACTTTGGGCCTCAGAAATGTTTTATGACAATATCTGATGAGAAAATCCTGATATGTATTCAATTTAGATATATCTAGAGCATTTTTTAAAATTTATTTCTTTCAGTACCAGAAATTGAAGCTAAGATCTTGTGCATGCTAAACAAGTGTCCTACTGCTGACTTATACCCCCTTTTACTTATTTTGACACAGAGTCTACATAAGTTGCTAAGGATTTTCTTGGACTGTACAGCCCAGGCATGCCTTGAATATACAGTCCTCCTGGTTCAATCTTTCTGGGATATTCTAAGGAAATCAGATTTGCGGAAAGACAAAATGAATTTCCTAGAATAATAGTTAAGACTTGGAATGTTGTTTGAGGTTTGGGCCAGAAAGAAGGGTTATAGTCATTTCATCCATTTCCTGAAAGTTTCCTTGACATCTCCATTCCTCAAGTTGTAGATGAAGGGGTTCAAAATAGGAGTCACCACTGTGTACATGTCTGTCACAATGCATCCTCGGTCACTGAGTAGCTGGAAAGGGGCTGAAATAGATCCATGTGATGGTGCCATAGAATACAGCTACCATGGTGAGGTGGGAAAAGGCTTCACTCTTCATTGGCAGAGGTAATCTGGAGGACTGCTGATATGATGAAGACATAGGAGGCGAAGATGAAGACCAGAGCTCCATGGATGACTATCACTATTTCTGTAGGAATCATCAAGTTGTTGAGTTGGATGCTGGTGCAGAAGATCTTCATCATAGGACAGAGGTCACAGAAGAAGTGGGGGATCCTGTTACCTGCACAGAAGTTGAGTCTGCCTGTAAGGAGGGTATACAGCAGGGCATGAAGGTGGGAGAGGACATGGCACAGAGCCACCATCTGTGTACACAGACCTCCAATTAGTATTGTGGGGTAGCTGAGAGGGTGACAGATGGCAATGTACCTGTCATAGATCATCGTCACCAGGAGGAAGCTTTCCATGGCTGCAAAGCAAATGAAGACATAAATTTGGATTAAACAACCCATGTAGGAAATGGCCTTTGAGGAGGAGAAACTGTTCTGCAGTGTCTTGGGAATTGTGGTAGAGGTGAAGCAGTTGTCTGTCAAGGTCAAGTTACTGAGGAAGACATATATGGAACTGTGAAGCTGAGGAGCAGAGACAGTGGGTGCAATGATGAACAATTGCCAGAAATGATTATAGACATGAGTGGAAAAAGAAGGAAGAGAGGAATCTGCTCATCTGCGTGAGTAGAGATGCCAAGAGAACCAAGTGTGACACACTAGTCCAGCTGTTGTTGTCAACCTGTCACTATAAGAACAGAAAGGATCATTTTCATTCACTGGGGAATATGAGCAGGCTGTTGAAGACCCCTCACTGCTGCACCCCAGTACAAAAGACACATGGTGCTGATAAAATGATTGAGTTCTTAATAATTTTCATTATCTTTAGCATTATCACTGTCACCACAGCTAACATTTAGAGTATCTTCCTTGAATTGGGGACTTCAATAGATTATCATATTTAAATGTTACAAGTTACAATTGCCTTATGAAGCAATCATCACCATCATTATTATTATGTGTTTTACAAATTAGAAGGCATAGATAATTTAAGCTCATATATGGCACAGTTCAATTCATATCATGTTTATCAGGATCCACAACTCTCCAAGCTAAAGAAAGCCAAGCTACCTTATTCATGACAGTAGACTTATGACATACAAGGAACCTGCGTGCTGAAGGGAATGTCAGAGTCCATATGGTTCAGCAGTCCTCACTCTAGAGGCTGTCTGTGTATAGAGGTAGCTTTACTGGTACCAAAAGATCTCTCAAATAGTGCAAATTGTTTTATAACAACGAGTTTTCCGTCTTCATAATTCCATATACCTCTTCTCTAAATGGCTTGTCTTCAGCTCACTTTTTCTTTTTCCTGCCTCATGTTTAACAAAAGACAATAATAGGACTGATGCTAATTTTATACACTTACTCTAGTAATAAATAATACTAAGTTTTGAATGTATAGACTAGGTTGAACAAAGGCAAATTGTTCCATTAGATGTCTTAGTATATGTTTTCTTATAGCTCATCATACATGTTCCACATCAGGGAATTCAACCAACCATGAATACTTGAATTTTTTTTTCCAAAAAGGAAATGTAGAATTTTGCTCCATTAGGAAAACTACAAATCCACACAAGTGAGATGATACATAGGTGGCAAATTAGATGAAATCCTGAGACAATTTTTTTTTCGATACAGGGTTTCTCTGTGTTGTTTTGGAGCCTGTCCTGGAACCCGCTCTGTAGACCAGGGTGGTCTCGAACTCACAGAGATCTGCCTGCCTTTGCCTCCCGAGTGCTGGGATTAAAGGCATGCACCACAAACGACTGGCATCCTGAGACAATTTAATGTGTGCAAGATGGTGAAGCTCACAGAGTTCTGTAGCTGTGATGTGAGCTTATCCCGGTGTGTAACTGCAGATTGGTGAATCTTATAGAGTTTCATAACATATACAGCTGTGTCTGATCAGAAAGCCTATATTCCTAACTATTGATATTATTTTCTCACTTAAGCTTTTCCTCTTAATTCCTATTTATACTTCTCATTTTGCTTTTATGTTGTACTGCCTTACACATCAGTCAGACAAGTGCCCGTTCACACATAAATGTATAGATTCATTGATACGGTTGTATATATGTGTGTACACACGTATGTTTAAGTCTCATTATAAAGCTAAAGACTATATATTCTTGTTTCTGCTTTTATATGTGTAAATTAACTTTTACTGGTTCTTTGGGGTTTTCACATCATGCAAGCCAATTCTGCCCATCTTCCCATTCCCTCCTCATCCACCCTAGCAATCTCCTCCACGAAAAACAAAACAAAATCTAAAAGAAAAACCAAAAACCAAACCAAACAAACAAACTAACAAAAATCAAAGCAAAAGATGAAAGAAAGCAAAAGGAAGAAAGAAAAAAAATGAGAAAGAATTTCGTCCTGGAGGCTATGGAGGCCTGCACCCTTTAGTCCTTTCATCTTCATTTGCAAGTGTTCATTTCCCTAAGTCCTTGGTCTGTTGGAGGCCTGTGTCCTCTGTAGCACAGTCAACAATGAGCTCTCACCAAGGTCCCCCCTCCCTCCCCCGGGACATCCCGTGGTTGTCTTGTGTTTCGGAGATGGAGATTGGGACCCTTCTCCTCTGGCTGTTCATAGATGGGGTGGATGTTGGGGAGGGCCCACTCAGAGCCCCAGGCTGGCCTTGGGTGTCAGTTGGGACTGGCCAGTCCACCAGTTTTCCCCTAAGGTCACCTCCCGTACTCTCTGCTCCCTCGGGCTCTCCATCACCGCCTGGTTAACACACCCATCGCAGCCTGCGGCAAGAAGCAAGGCCAGTTCTGCTCCCAGGCCCTTAGGTTTGCTCACCCACACTCACACCACCAGGGCCAGCTCCGCTATCTTGCCCAGGAGAGGTGTAGAACCCTCTCTCCCAGTTGTTGTAGGGGACATACAGGGGAGGCGGGTAGATCTCCTGATCTCAAGCCCTCAGGGCTGCCTGCAGAGTCTGCTGTTCAGTGAGCAGCATCGGGCAAGGGAGGGGCCTAGTTCTTCTAGTCTTGTGACCCCAGGGCCAGATCTCTTGTCTGCGGCAGGTAGCTACAGGCAGGTTGCAGGGGGTAGGGAGTAGGGGAAGGCATCTTTCTCTCACCCATGCCACCACATGACCGATGAAACGGGGCAGGGTCAGCTCTCTTGTTCTCAAGCCCTCAGGATGGGCTCATCTGAGTCTCTGTCAGCAGGGTGAGCTCTAGTGTGTTTACCCAGGCAGGATGCAGGGAGGGCTAGCTCTCTTGAGTGCTGCAGCTGATGAGGGACAGGGCAAGTTCTCCAACTATTGTGATCCCTGGGCCACCTAGGGTAGCAGGTAGCAGGAGGGGGCATGTTTCCCTCATCCACGCCACACGTGACCGAAGTGGGTGGGGGCAGTCAGTCAGCTCTGCTTCATTCAAGCCCTTGCCAGGGTAGAGGAGACTCACCAGCGATCAGCTTTGTTTTTGCTATTGAGGATGAGAGTGCGGTGTTAGGTTCCCTAAGGTCACATTAAATAGGGTTGGAGGCAGACGGAGGGGGAGAATTTGGTGTGGCTGAGGAGGTGGGAAGTCAAGAATCTTGCTTTTAAATGGGGTGTGCATAAACAAACAGCAACATAGGTTGTAAGGAATTTGATTTGTCTGTCAGGAGAATATTCTGAGACCTTAAGAAGAGCACCTCATTTCCTTGTCTGGGAAATGGAGGTAATGCCTGCTTGCATTGAAAAGCTTTATAAAATCTACAGATGTGGAGGTTCCTTTAAAATCCTACAAAACAGGGTGAAGCTAATTACTATAATTCCTATTGCTTCTGCCACTCCATCCACAAGTGCCCTTTGCAAATACAGGAGGAGGCATTTACATAACATAATGAAACCTGTTCTCTTCATTGCCCTGTTTCATTGTGAAGACCCAGGAGTGGGAAGAAAGGACTGGGTTTGTTGTTAAAGAGAAGTCAAGCCATGTGCTGCCCAACCCAATTTACACACAGACAGCTCTTCAAATCATTGGAACTTTTGGAATTTTTTTCATTATTTTTTATTACTTTTTTTTTTTTAGAAAAGAGCTTGCTTCACCTGTCGATCCCAGCTCCCTCTCTCTCCCCTCCTCCCGCACCCCCAGCCCTATGCCCACTCCCTTCCATGTAGCGGATAAACAGAGTCTGTCATTTCATTCAGGGCAGGGTCCAGGCCCTCCCCCCAGGCTGAGAGAGCATCCCTCTGTGTTATGGACACATGAAGTCCGTTTGTATGACTTTTTGGAATTTTTAAAAGCTAGCTTTCCGACTCAGGTGAAATTTCCATGGAAAGTCTTAGCTATGTAAATCATCTACTCTCTCTTGTGGGTAGGTTTTTGTGAGGTAGGTGCATGCAGACAGCAGAGGATAATGGAGGAGAGACAGAAAGAGAAGGGAGATAAGACAGTAGAAAACGAGACTTTGCAGCACTTAGATTCATATCCAAACGACCGATTCTGATGGTCTTTGCTGAGGGACTGGTGTAATGTTGCCTAAGGTGGCGGCAAATGCTGTGTGATGGTGTGAAGCTCTCTGTGAGTCTTTACCACTCTGCTGTGGACTCTCAGCTAGACAGGAATGGCTGCGTCTGGTATTTCATCTCGCCTTGGCTGTGTGTCTTTGTGTCTTGTTTGGACAGATGCACGGAGCCAACCACTCAGGGAAGATAAAGGAAGTAGTCCAGAATAAGAGAAATAAAAGCATCTGGCAGGAGGTGAAGGAGTAGCAGCTCCCAGGGTGCCATAGACTCCAGGTGCTTATGCTTTTTGGGGGCAGGCGGACAGGACTAGGAGTGCTGGGAGCTGAGGTGTTCTTTTTTATTTAAATTATAAACAATCTTAATTCACTTATCAATCCCAGTTCCCTCTCCCTCCCCTCCTCCCATGCCTCCCACCAACCCCCATCCCATACCCCTTCTACTCCCCAGGCAGGGTGAGGCCTTCCATGGGGGATCATCAAAGTCTGTCATATCATTTGGATCAGGGCTTAGGGCCTCCTCCATGTGTCTAGACTGAGAGAGTATCCCTCTATGTGGAATGGGCTCCCAAAGTCCATTCGTACACTACGGCCCATATTTATTCTAGGGGTAGTCAACCACTGCTCATGTCCAACAGGTACTACTATAGACACGTCTCTATAGGTTAACATGTGTATATTTTATAAAAATGAGATCTTGGGGCTGGAGAAATGGCCCAGCATATAAGAGCACTTTCTACTCTTGCAGAGGACCCAGGTTAGGTTTCCAGAAACCACAGGGTGATTTAAAACCATCTGTAACTCTAGTTCCAGATTACCTGATTATTCTTATGAACTCTGCAGGCTCCTGCACATGTGTGGTACATGTGAATACACTCAGGCATATACATATACACATAAAATAAATGAGTATTTTAAAAAGGGGCATTATTTATGGAGCTTTCTTTTCTCATAAGTAAATTGTGGACATCCTATGGTAAAATCAGACCTAGCTTATTATTTTGAAGCTATTTCACAGAATATTATTTGTATAGAAATAACTGTTTTCTTATTCATGCTTTTTATCATGATTTCTCTTGTTATGAAGAGAATGCTACAACCTATATTCTCTTATAGGTGCTTTTGTCTACAATATGCTGCATGGATATACTTGATAAAAGTGTAGGTACATTCGTGTAGCCCAAGCTGGCCTTCAACGTCGTACGTACCTGAGGATGACTTTGAGCTATCCCCTGCCTCCATCTCCCAAGTGTTGGGATTATGCTTATACACCACTAAGCCACAATTCAACCTTGGCTTTAAGCAACATTTACTTAGGGTCTGTTATATGCATGGACATCATTCATTAATCCTTATTCTAAATTGTGAGAAGAGACACAGGATCGGGCTAATGAATCTGTTAAAATATCATGAAATGGCGAGTTAAAGTCAGATCTTGTTCCCCCACAATTGGGGATTTTCCTGCATTAGTTTCCTTCAATTCTGAGATAACAATGACCTGAGTGCCTTGGCTTGAGGTGAATCTCTATAGGGAACAGTGGGATCAACACCACACAGCTTTTTGACCCTGTGCTTTTACAAAGGTCAACATTTTCAGGAGAACTCATTCATTCACTTACTAGTTTCTACTCAGCTAATGTGATAGGTTCAGGTGATGGTGTAGTGAATGAAACAGAATGTGTACTTTCGTAAAACATAGTTCACCATTAAAGATGTTGATATTCGACTTACAAACTCCATGAGAAGAGAGGTACAGTATTTTTTTAAACAAGTGGTCACAGATCTAGGGTACTGCTGGCCCAAGGTTCAGGGGTGTGTGCATAAGAGGAGGTGGGAAGTTGTGAGAGCCAGCAGTAGTGGATGCCTCCAACACAACAGGGCTGACGCAGGTACGTGACTATGGGAGCATGAACAAGACCTTCGAGGGTTGAAACCAGATAAAATTCTAACACTGAGAAGGGGAAGTGGACGCAAAATCCCACTCCTTACCTAGAAGCTGTTTACAGTTGATACCTGTTGGGAAAGGGAAAACTAGGTTTCTCCAATAGAATGTCACTGAGTGTATCAACCAAACTCTAGGGCAGGCCCCATTCTCAGGAGTAGCTGATCAACACAAAATATACTACATGGGGTTTTGGTTTTTTTTGTGTGTGTGTGTATTGGTTCTTTTTGTTTCATTTTGTTTTGGTGTCTTTTGTCTTATTGCTGCCTTCTTTTGCATGCTTTGATTTTTTTTAGAGAGAGAAGCAGGAAGAGAGAGAAAGACAAAGAGAGATAGATAAGAGTCACAGAAGAGGACCTGGGAGGAGTTGGGAGAGGGGAAAGAATATGATCAAAATATATTATATAATAAAATAAATAAGGACAGAAAAGGCAGGTTCAAATAAAAAAAAACAGAAACAGTAAATATTTGTAGAACAAATAGGAGCCAAATTAGATATTTACTTAACTAATTTTTTATTGAAGTATCATTGATATAAGTATCTTGAAAAAACAAACTTTAGACCTTTAAAAATGTTAATCACAATTATCTAACTTGATTCTGCCAAGATTCTTAGTCTGTTCAGACTGCTAAAACAAAAGCCAAAGCCAGGTAGTCAATGGACCCCAGAAATTTATTTCTTACTGATTGGAGCTGAGGGCATCAAGGATCAAGGTATTGGCAGATTGTCTGGTGACATGATTTCTGATTCCTAAGCCTTCTTTCTGTGTTCTCACATCATCAAAGTGACAGGCAGCTCTCTGGAGATAGTTTCGTAAGGACATGAATCTTATTCATGAAGGCTTTTATGCATAATCTAACAGCCCAACCTTCTAAAACCACCAAGAAGAAAAATCAAGGGGAGTGTGGAATATGAACATTCAGACCATGACATTCTGTCCTTCTGTCTGTCCCAATGCTCATGTCTTTCTTACACCATCTCAATAATCCTAAAGTCATAACTCATCCCAGGATCAGTTATAAGTCCAGAATAGTAGTAGCCTAAGTATCATCTAAGAGCTGGAGGAATGATTCGGTGATTAAAAGCACTTGCTGCTCTTATAGATTACCGGGGTCCAGTCACCAGCACCCACGTGATGGCTCACATCTATCTGTGGCTCCAGTTCTAGGGGCTCTGACATGATCTTCTGACCTATAAAGGCACCATGCATACACATGGTACATAGGTATCCTATAGGCAAAAATACCCACAGACACAAAGTAAAAATAAGTTTAAAAATTTTAAATGTAAAATGTACATATCATCTAAATAAGGTATGAAAGAGACTAAAGAAAAGATTGATTTTGAGGCATATTTCTCTATGACTATGAATCTGTGAAAGCAAACATGAGATAAGGGTCCATGATATTAATAGATGTAGGTTTGACACACTGATACGACAGAAATAATGAAGAATGGGGTAGCAGATCCCAAGTACATCTAAAACCTTAAGATTTAAAAAACTTAAGGAAAAACTTTATTTTTTGGTTAACAAGCCTGGAATTCCTGTCTCAGATGCCTTGCTGGGCGGAGTTGGCTCCCTAAGCCTCTGGGAAATTGCCTCACAGTCCCAGGTAGCTCCATTTCCACAGCTCTGCTGGGTGCAGCCTATTTTGCAGATTTTATATGTTTTATTGACTTCCAGGTGCTCTCCGAGTCTGGAGTCGTGGAACAGCCATTCTTTCAGTTCTTCTGGGCACCACCCAACTCATGGATTCTTTGTCTTTTACATTAAAATATTTTCTCTCCTCTTGTACAGTCACCATAACCATTCTAGACAAAGTAAACCATACCTTCCACTCTTAGGAAATTCTTATGGAAAGATATATCATCTCATTGCTCAGAGCTTCTGCCTTTCATAAAACATTAGAACACAAATGATTTTGCCATATTGCTTGTCCCCCTATTCTCCCTGTAGCAACTAATCCTTCCTCAAGATTCCAAAATTAATTTGAATCTGAGACATTCGGTTCCAAACTATCAGATACTCTCTAATAATATCAAAGCTTTCTTTATAATGATATTCTTATTCTTTTGGGCCCTCACCAACAATGCCTGTTCAGATACCACTCACTTTAAAACAAGTTTATTTTCTTACTATTTCTGAGTATTCCACATATTTTTGTATTACTTCCTTATTTGATATACAGTTTGTAAATATTTTATCCTAGCATATAGATTATCTTTGTACTCATTAAATTATATTTGGGAAAACGTTTTAGTGTGATGCCCAGTGATACATAATTTTCCCAGTCTCACATCATGGAGCTTTCCTCCTGTGTTGACTCTCTCATACCGAAGTCTTTATTTCAGCTTCTCCACTCTTCTAACTCTGGAAAACACAGTTTTCTTGACACTTGTTTGATGAGACTAACTTTTCTCTCTCTTGTGTTTTTAGTGCCTTTTAAAAATTATTTGACATAAATATGTGGACGTATTCCTTATTGTTACATCAAGGTACACCCTTGTGCCTTCATGCTGGCACTGAGCGATTCTTCTGAGTACAACAGTAAGAAGAATCTCAAAGCCAGAGATCTGGTGACTTCAGTTATATCTGTTGCTAAAGTTGTTTTTAACTGTTTGGTTTCTATGTGTGAAAACTGCCACTGGAATCTACTTAAGTATTTTAAAAATTTGTGCAAGGTTATATCAAGCATAAGAAAAAATCTGATTGGATTTAAGGCTCACTCCATAAGATAGAGCTCATGCCTGGTATCACTAACAGGGACCCAAACCTGTGACTGCCTAGGTCACAAGGCCTAGAGAATAGAATACCATTATTCTAAATGGGCACAGTAATAAGCTGTTTCCATAGATACATATCTTAGTGTATCTCTCAGCCCTTACTGGAGAAGCTTTATTTTTTACAGTAGTTAGTGATTAATGCAGACACCAATGACTGGTCAATGTGCAGACAATAAGACAACAGACTGTTGAGTGATCAGCTGTAAATGGAACATCTATACTATACCAGAAGATGAGGGGACAGAAACTCTAAGGGTCAGAAGCAGTGAACATCATCAGTGAAGCAGTATTTGCCAGATATAATAAGGCTGTGATTGCATGCAAAATACCAGAACAAGCTACCCAAAAAATCTCAGAGTGGATGGGGGTGGGACTTATGAATTCCCACCCAAAACTGGTAAGTTATGGACAATAGATGGATGTTAGGGTAGGGATACTCAGTTTTCCTCAAGGATACAATCTCTTAGAGCCACACATGTTCCAGTATAAGATCTTACACCTGTAAACAAACAGGGATCATTAATTGGACTCAGTGAGTTTAAAACAGGACAGGAAGTTGGGAGGGAACGTAAAAAAGGGACAGGAGAAGGAATGGGGAAGGGTTTGATTAAAACACGTCGTATGCTTTTGTGAAATTCTCAAACAATTTAAAAAGAGATGTTGGTGGCAGAAAAAAACAATACACAAGTGATTTGTAATGTTTTCATTAACTTTATTCATTTTATTTGGGTACACATTACAATAACATTTTGATATTGCACACGTTCAAAATAAAAGCCAGACAAAAAAAAGAAACAAGAAAGAAATGATAAGATTAAAGATGGCATCCCAAAACAAAAATGAGGCTTTAGCAAAGGAGATGTTTAGGAAGAAAAAGCAGTGATGTAGACCATCACATCAGATGAAGTAAACATCTATGTAGACAGTGTCCATTACATTATCAAACGAAGTACACATTCAAAACCAGCAGTGAGATTCCAGCACCATTATCATGATGATCAAAGACTAGAACACTGGCGTCTCTTATCATGGACCCCATGTTGGCGAAAATGCGAAACAGACACTTCATTCATTGCTGGCGGGATTTGAAACAGGATACAAATCACTTTGGAAGTTGTTTTTAGCAATATCTCGAAACAAAAACCCACAAGAAAACAGTGGCTTTCAAGCCCAGCAAGGAGGCTAAACACAGGGATTCACACCACTTAAGACAGCATGCGCAGGTCCTGCACAAGCTCAGGCCACACAAAAAGGCCAGCATGCAGAGGGGAGGTGAACAAGAGTTCTACCCCAGCTGAGGAGCCATTAACAACTGATAGCTGCTGGAAGAGGAAGGATCCGGTTTTTTTTTCCTAATGGACTGTCACTGTATATTGACCACACCCAGAGAAGCCCTATGCTCAGGAGTAGTTGGCCAAAACCAAATGGACTCATATGAATTACAGAGCACAACTTGGCATGAGTGACTAGGGGCTTTTCTAGCTGACATCAGAAGAGGGCAGTGCTGCATTAAAGGTGTCCCCTGCCACAGGTGTGTGTGGCTGGCTACATAGTCCTTGCAGCTACGTAGCATCGTGTAGGCTGCCTGTAAGCAGGGTTGACTTTCAAGGAGAAACAGTGGACCTGTGCTGACCATGCCTAAAGCAGCCATTCAGGTGGAGTAGGATATTAAAGGGGACAACTAGGATAGGTGTACTTGATTGAGTTACCTCCATTTGTTAACCATAGAACAAGACTGGCCAGAAACATTCCTCTTAATATAGAAAAATGTTCCACCTACATTAAGTTGACTCTTGGTGACCAATATGGAGCAAATACTGAGACGTAAGTAATCATTGGTATAACCCTCATCAAAAGATTTCTTATGTCCGTGTGCAGAAGCAAAGAAAGTCATAGCAAAGAAAGTCACTGGAAGATTCTTGACAGTAAGCAAAGAAAATTAGAAACGGTAGAATCCTGAGAACTGGGGTCCCAGAGTGTGAGTTATTGGGTCAGTGCCAACGAAATGAGAGGAGAGAATGCTAAGATTTATTAGGACAAATGAAGTCTCAAGAGTTGAGAATCTGTAACTGTTTACTGAGCACTTACTGTAATTAATGCTCACATATTATTTTTTATTTGGTAATTAATTTTATTTAAATTAATAACAATCTCTTTTTACATTCCAATCCAAGTTCCTTCTCCCTCCCATCCTCCCATTCCCCACACCAACCCCCCCCCATCATACACTCCTCAGGGAGGGTGAGGCCTTCCGTGGAGGAATCATCAAAGTCTGTCACATCATTTGGGACAGGACCTAGGCCCTCCCCCATGTATCTAGGCTGAGACAGTATCCTTCCATAGGTAATGAGCCCCCAGCCCATTCATGCACTAGGGACAAATATTGGTTCCACTGCCAGAGGCCCCCTAGGCTGTCCAAGACCTCTAACTGACAGCCACATTCAGGGGATACAATTCAGTCCTATGCAGGTTCCCCGGCTATCATTCTGGAGTCTGTTAACTCCCACTTGCTCAGGTTAGCTACTTCTGTGAGTTTCCACAAAATGGTCTTGAACCCTTTGCTCATCACTCCTCCCTCTCTAAACCCGGATTCCAAGAGTTTGGCTCAGTGATTAGCTGTGAATCTCTGCTTCTGCTTCCATTAGCTACTGGATGAAGGCCCTAGGATGACATTTAAGGTAGTCATCAATCTCATTATAGGGGAAAGGAATTTAAGTTAGCCTCTCCACTATTGCTTAGGTTATTAGATGGGGTCATCCTTGTGAATTCCTGGACATTTCCCTAGTGCCAGGTTTCTCATTAACTCCACAATGGCTCCCTCTATTAAGGTATCTCATTCCTTGCTCTCCTTGTTTTTCTCCCAACTGGACCATCCTAATCCCCATGTTCTCCTCTCCCCTCCCCTTCACTCTCCTTTTTTCCTCCCCTCCCACAGTGTTCCCAATTTACTCAGGAGATCTTGTCCCTTTCCTCTTCTCTGGGGTTCCATGTATGTCTCTCTTAGGGTCCTCCTTGTTTCCTAGCTTCTCTAGGATTGTGGATTGTAGGCTGAGTATCTTCGCTCTATGTCTAATATACAATTATGAGTGAGTACATGTCATATTTTTCTTTCTGTGTCTGGCTTATCTCACTCAGGATGGTTTCTTCTACACCCATCCATTTGCCTGAAAATTTGATGATGCCATTGTTTTTTTCCACTGAGTAATACTCCATTGTGTAAATGTACTGCATTTTCTTTATTGATTTTTCAATTGAGGGGCATCTAGGTTGCTTCCAGGTTCTGGCTATTACAAATATTGCTGCTATAAACATAGTTGAACAGATGTACTTATGTTATGAATGTACATTCTTTGTGTAGCCTAAGAGTGGAATTGCTGGATATTGAAGTAGACTGATTGTCATTTTCCTGAGAAATACCATATTAATATCCAAAGTGACTGTACATGTTTGCATTCCCACAAGAGCAATGGCGGAGTGTCCTCCTTTCTCCACATCCTCTCCAGCATAAACTGTTTTGTTGTTTTTTTTTCACTGACAGATGTAAGATGGTATCCTAAAGTTGTTTTGATTTGCATTTCCCTGATGACTAAGGATATTAAACAACTGCAGTCAATTGAGATCCCTCTATTGAGAATTCCCTAGATCTGTACTCGATTTTTAAAGTGGATTATTTGGTGTTTTGGTGATTAGCTTCTTGTGTGCTTTGTATATTTTGGAGTTCTCCCCCCAGTCAATGTGGGATTGGTGAAGATGTTTTACCATTTTGTGGGCTGACATTTTGTCTTGTTGACAGCGTTTTTTGCTTTACAGAAACATCTCAATTTCAGGAGGTCCCATTTATTAATTGTTGGTCTCAGTGTCCGTGCTGCTGCTCCTGTGCCAATTCTTTCAAGGGTACTTCCCACTTTCTCTTCTAAGAGGTTCAGAGTGGCTGGATTTATGTTGAGGTATTTGATCCATTTGACTTAAGTCTTGTGTATGGTGATAGATATGGATCTATCTGTGATTTTCTTCATGTGACTATCCAGTTATGTCAGCACCATTTGTTGAAGATGCTTTCTTTTTTCCACTGTATAATTTTAGATTATTTGTTAAAAATCAGGTGTTCATAGGTGTGTGGATTAATATAAGGGTCTTCAATTTGATTCCACTGGCCTATCTGTCTGTTTTTGTGTTAATACCAAGCTGTTTTCATTACTATAACTCTATAGTACAGCTTGAAGTCAAGTATGGTGAGGCCTCCAGAAGTTCCTTTATTGTATAGGGTTGTTTTGGTTATCCTAGGATTTTCCCCATATAAAGTTGAATATTATTCTTTCAAGGTTTGTGAAGAATTGTGCTGGCATGATGATAGGGATTGCATTGAATCTGTAGATTGCTTTTGGCAAGATTGCCATTTTTACTATGTTGATCCTACCTATCCAAGAGCTTGGGAGATCTTTCCATTTTCTGATAGCTTTTTCAATTTCTTTCTTTAAAGACTTAAAGTTCTTGTCATAGAGGTCTTTCACTTGTTTGGTTAGAGTTATCCCAAGATATTTTATGTTGTTTGTGGCTATTGCGAAGGATGATGTTTCTCTGATTTCTTTCTCAGCCCATTTATCATCTCTATATAGGAGGGCTACTGATTTTTTTGAGTTAATCTTGCATCCTATCATTTTACTGAAGGTTTTTATCAGCTGTTGGAGTTCCTGGTATACTTTTTGGGTCACTTATGTAAGCTATCATATCATCTTCATATGGTGAAAGTTTGACCTCTTTCCAATTTGTCCTCTTTTATTTTCTTATTCCTCTAGCTAGAATTTCAAGTACAATTTTGAAGAGATATGGAGATAGTGCACAGCCTTGTCCTGTTCCTGATTTTAGAATAATCACATTGAGTTTCTCTCCAATTAGTTTGATGTTGGCTGTTGGCTTGCTGTATATTCCCTTTATTATGTTTAGATATGTTCCTGTTATCCCTGGTGTCTCCAAGTCCTTTATGATGATTGGGTGTTAGATTTTGTCAAAGACTTTTTCAGCATCTAGTGAGATGATCATATGGTTTTTCTTTTTCAGTTTGTTTATATGGTGGATTACATTGATGGATTTTGTATGTTGAACCATCCCTGCATCCCTGGGATGACGCCTGCTTGATCATGTTGGATGATTTTTCTGATGTGTTCTTGGATTCAATTTGACAGTATTTTATTGAATATTTTTTCAATAATTTCGTGAGGGATATTGGTCCGTATTTCTCTTTCTTAGTTGTGTCTGTGTGGTTTGGGTATGAAGGTAATTGTAGCCTGGTAAAAAGAGTTTGGCAATGACCCTTCTGCTTCTATTGTGTGGAACAATTTGAGGAGAATTGGTGTTAGGTTTTCTTTGAATTTCTGGTAGAAGTGTGCACTGAAACCATCTGGCTCTGGGTTTTTTCTGGCTGTTTCTATTTCTTTAAGGATTATAGGTCTATTTAATTTTTATCTGTTCTTGATTTAATTTTGGTAAGTGATATCTATCCAGAAAATTGTTCATTTCCAATAAGTTTTCCAATTTTGTGGAGTACAGGTTTTCAAATAATGACCTGATGATTCTCTGGATTTCCTCAGTATCTATTGTTATGCCACCCTTTTCATTTCTGATTTTGTTAATGTGCTTATTCTCTCTGGCCTTTGTTTAGTTTGGATAAAGGGTTTTCTATCTTACTGATTTTCTTAAAGAACCAACTGTTTGTTTTACTGATTCTTTGTATTGTTTACTTTATTTCTACTTTATTAATTTCAGCCCTGAATTTGATTTTTTTCCTTGAGTATACTCCTTCTGCGTGAATTTGCTGTTTTTATTTCTAGAGCTTTCAGGTGTGCTGTTAAGTTTCTAGTGTGACTATTCTCTAGTTTGTTATGATGACTCTTTCCCGCCAGCCTGGTCCCACAGCCGCATCAACCCCAAATGAACACTCAGAGATTTATATTAATTATAGTATGTTGACTGCTGGAAATGACTTCTTAGTGGGTAGCTCTGACTTAATTATTAACCCATAACTAGTAATCTATGATTTTC